ATCCACCCTGACTTTAATGTAGTGGGATCATCTCAAGGAAATATCCTGTTCTACTGGGCATTTTTACCCATGGATGATGATGATTAAGATAATTTCCTCCTGAGCAGTCCTATTTAATAAAGCAATAACTTTATACAGTAATAGTCTTGGTGTAAATAGAATTTTGATGATTAAGGGCTTCTAACAAAAATAGTAAGGGATTATGATAGAGGTTAGTTTAGGGGGATTGTTAATGCAGGTAAAGGATATAGTGTTGCCCCACCCCTGATAAAGCAGGGGCTGCGGAGGATAGAAAATAAAAGCAAGGAAATGTCACACGAATGGTTTCTCTTGAGGAGATCACAGCCTAGGTTAATGATAAAGAAAAACAGTTGTGTCCCAGAAGTTAAATTAGCTCAAGTCCTTTTAATCTTAATGTTGAGAGATGTGTTCATGGGTTTCAGTGTGCATCATAGCTGAAACAACACTTTAAATATGACTTAAGATTAGGTTAAGATGTTTTTGTTAATAGCTTTGAGGATTTAAAAAAACATTGAGAAAGAATCTAAAGTATAGAAAGGCACATAGTCGAGTGAGGAACACATTAAGGTCAGGGAACGAGAAAAAGCAACCCGATTATTGGCTGATGTGCCTTTCTTTCTAGAAAGGTTTGTCGATCCCATTTCTGCCCTCAGCTGCCTCATACAAAAAAACTATTCATGAGTGGGTATGCACCCCGAGGATTTAAAATAGAGCTAGCTGATTGTTTTTCATATATAAAAGTTTAGGTTTGTGATTCTTCTAAGATTCCTTGTAAGATTACCTGTTGAGATAAGTAATAAAATAACTGGTCCTTTCTTTGCAACTGGAAAATGCAGCCTGCCAGCAAGAGAACTGGCTGAGAAAATGCCTTGCCTGCTTACACCTGTTAATCTATACCAGGTTGCTTGGGTGTGAGTGTATGTGGGTTCTTGAGACAATTTGTTTTTCACCTGTAATATGTAAAATGATTAATCATGGAAAGGATATGGGAAACATGCTGTTTTTTACTTGTATTCATTGTAATCATTCACTTGAAAAAGAGAATGTAACCACATTGTAATTTTTATGTTGTTTGAAAATTATTGATAGGATATATTATCTGTAAGGGGAAAAAGTTAGTTAGAAGGAAGACATCAATAGAGACACTAGATAAAAGTAAGAAAAGAAATAGAGAAATGAGAGAGAATAGAGAAAGACCCTAAGAGTGTGTGCATTTTTTCCTTTTCCCCCAGATCCAGAGAGTTAAGTTTAGCCCCCTCACTGGCCCCTGAGAATTAGTTTTTACTCCCTCAGATAGAAAATTCAAGTCTGCTGGCTCCCCGGGCTACCCCTCAAACCCTGAGTGCTGGAAGCTGGTCCTCATGGCAACGACAGGTTCTCACTGGGGTTTCTCTGGATATCCTGCTCTTGTCCTGTGTCGTGGAGATCCTAACACTTTGGGTCTGCAGGACCAGCCCCTCCACGTGCTCCATCAGATCATAAACGGGGTAAATGATGGATTGGGCCAACTCATAGTCCTGGTTCTGGGTCTTGGTTGATCAGCCGGCCAGCTCTTCCTCATCCTCACCACCAGGGGGAGCTCTCCAACACCGCCCTAGCCAGCTCACCCTGTGTAGTAAGCAGCAAGTGGCGGCCAAGTCTGCCACTCTCGTGTCTTGAGGGTCAGCCTTCCCACACCTGCCTCTCACCAGCTGCAGCACTGAGCAGAGTGGCCCCTGCACCTCGCCTAGGCAATACAGTAGAGCTGAGTCGCCCCAAATCGTGGAGATCCTGTAGTTACTGTTCCACAGGGCCAGTCCCATGTGCACTTCAGCAGGTCACAGATGAGGTAGACATTAGAGTCGGCCAACCCAGAGCCCAGGATGTGGTCTGGGTGGTAGCTGAATGGTCGGTTTTGGCCACTGGAACGGCCCCCCTCGGGTGAGGGACAGTGCCAGCACTCCCAGGCCCATGCCATCAGGGGCAGCTTTCCTATGCCCATAGAGATGGGTGTGGCCATCTCTCCTGAGTGCAGGGGGTCAGCTCTCTCATAGGGCACAGGGTAGGCTCTCCTGCTGCAGTGTACAGCAAGGGGCAGGACCAGCAATTCCTGAGCCAGGGAGTCCCACAGATTTCAACACACAATGGTTTCTATGGTCCTCTGTGGTAACATGGGCTCTGGACATCATCACGGACTCCAGTTGCGGCAGGACCACAGACTCAGTCGTGGCCCTCAGAGTCAGCTCATGCCTGCACGTCACCATGGCTGTGGTGGCAGCATGGGCCCCCCAGATCAGTATGGACCCAGTAGCAGCAAGGCCCTCGGATAATAATGTGATCTCAGGTGGCTACGCAGACCCCGGGCATCTGCACAATCCCTGGTGGCAACAGGAGCCACAGACATCAGCCCAAACCATGGTTGTTGCTAGGTCACAGACCCAGGCACGGCCTTTAGCAGTATCCAGTTTTCAGTAGAATAAGAAGAAATTTCAGGATACATAAGAGAAAAGATGAGCTATTGTTACTGTTAATATTCTATGCATTCTGTATACATCACCACTGTTAAGACAAAAGGATTCTATGACTTAACTATCAATCTAAATCATCCTGTAGTGTTCCTTGTAGACCCAAATGACAAATTGAAGCAAGTCAATAGCAAATCCTGATGTGGATTTCCTTTTCCTGTGTTTCTCTTGAAAACCACTGCTGAGGAGGCCTGGGCAACCTATGGGGTCCTGAGCAGTGGATCAATGTTTGTCCCTCGAATACTAACAGACATCGTGTGTCCATAACACAAAGAGGGTTGCTCTCTCTGCCTGGACTCTTAGGGAAGTGCCTGGACCCTACCCTGAGTGAAATAACAGACTCTGGATATCCCCTATATGGAAGGAATTAGCAATAGGGTGGGAGGATGGGGGGGATGGGGGGTGTGAGAGGAGGGGAGGGAGAGAAAACTGGGATTGACATGTAAAACAAGCTATTTAAAATTAAAATAATAAAAAAGAAAAAAAGAAAACCACTGCTGATGAAGAGAAATATTAGAATCTAAGCATGCGGACAAAACGAGTCAATTGCAGAGGAACGACAATCAGCCGATGCAATTAGTGATGGTTGCTTGTTGAATGTCTTTGCCCAGAAATATTTAGTTGTTGTGTTGGATAGTTTTATGTCAGGTTGATACAAGCTAAAGTCATTTGAGGGGAAGGAGCCTCAATTAAGAAAATGCTTCAATAAGATCAGGCTGCGGGCAAGCGAGTAGGGCATTTTCTTAATTAGTGATCTATGGGGGAGGGCCCAGCCCTGGGGGGTGGTGCCACCTCTGGGCTGGTGGTACTGGGTTCTATAAGAAAGAAGATTGAGCAAGTCATGGGAAGCAAGCCAGTAGGCAGCATCCCTCCATGGCCTCTGCATCAGCTTCTACCTCAGTGTTCCTCCGATGTTTGAGTTCCTGTCCTGACTTCCTTTGACGATTAACAGTGATGTAAGCCAGATAAACCCTTTCCTCCTCAATGTGCTGGCTGACCATGGTGGTTTGTTGCAATAATAGATACCCTAATTAAGACAGTTGTTATGCTTCCCAACATCTATGCTGGGAATTTAGGATGCTTTACAAAGGACACATGCACAGCACACTCTGATTTCGTTTCCCCAAGTGTATGAGAAAGAGCCCTGAGGTGGTGTTGGGGTAGTGCACAGCAAAGCAGTCATGCTTATGGTCCAGTTCTATCAATGGGTTACCTCAAAATGCTGACGAATCATTTCACACCCTGCCTTAGTAATTGAAAAGTAGTCCTTTTGGGGAAAATCACTGTTGCTACCCAGTTTAGGTACAGGGCAACATACATTATCAATAGCCATATATGTAAATGAAATACGTTGCCAGCAGTCAGGCCAGGGTGGAGTATATCCAGGTTTTCGATGCCTCCTTTAGGGAGTAGCAAAGTGGCTGGGAAACTTTACCTAAAGCAAGGCTATAGCTCAGATTAGAATACACATAGAGAGAGCATCCAGACACAAGAGCTAGTACTCTAGGCCCCGATTGTTGCCTGAGCTTCCTTTTAGGGGATACAAAAGTGGGAGTTTGGATACTAGGAGATTAATTTGGGTGGTTCTCTTTTTTGATTGAAAACCCGTCCTGTAACATGTCTGTTGTGGAATATTTGTTTATCTGTGCAAGATCTGTTGCTGTTTTACCTTGCCTGACTAAGGCACAGGGTTGGTTTACTAGGAGATGAATGACCAATAGTGAGGGAAGAGGGACTTCCAGGCAGGGAGAGTAAGCAGGAGGAGGAATTTAGGCTTGGGAGTGAGGGTGTGGGAGAAAGAAAGAAAAGAGACACCAAAGGTACAAAAGGAGGGGTCTGGTTACTAAGAGATTAATTTGGATGGTTCTCTATTTTGATTGACAAGCCTGAGTAACTTAAACACTTTCCATAACACATCTGTTGTGAATAATATGCATGTTCAGCTGTGCTAGGCATAAGATTGCAAATAGGAGATTCTTTACTGGTTCACTCTGGGATACATTTGCCTTATTGAGCATGCACCATACCAGTATAGACCAGACTGACCCATTTCCATTGTTCTCAGATGCAGTAATAATATGTTTGACTAGAACTGCCAATGTCTGATGGTCCTTAGGGGACTGAAAACCTTCCTCCGCTGTATAAAGTGGGCTTGCAGTGCAGCTCTATGTGGGTGGTGGTCTTGGGTGCTAACAGATTGCTAGGCACATTGCTTAGAGAGGGGTGAGTGTGCATAGTGTGTACAGGAAAGGAGCCAATGGTACTAAATGCATTACGAGAAGAGAGGTAGGTGCATAACTCAAATGAAGGAGGTTCCCGGGTTACAGAATTGTTCCCCATGCTTGCCGGCCTCAGTAGTTCACTCCAACTAATTCCAAGAGCAGTGTCTGTGTTGTTCTTTCTGAACAACTTTCTGTCTCCCCCAGTGTGGTAGCTACTTTTCTGTTGTGACAAAACAGCATGACCAAGGTGAGCTATAATAGAAGGAAGACTTTATTGTGGCTTTTGGCTCCAGAGGATTGGAGTCCATAATGGCAGGAAGAAGGCAGAATGCATGGAGCTGGATCAGAAAGCCAAGAGCTCACACCTTGATCTGAAAGCTTGAAGCAGAGCAAAGGACAAGTGGGTGAGGCGTTTACTCTTACAGGGTACCTCCAGTGACACAACTTCTTCCAGCAGGGTTGTTCTCCTAAACCTTCCCAAACCCTCCTCATGCTGCTGCTGACAACTGGGGGCCAAGTGATAAAATGCCCAAGGCTATGGAGGACATTATCTTTTAATTCAGCACATCCAGGCTGGACTTGAACTTACGATCCTCCTGGCTCAGCTTTCCCAGTGCTGCAAACAGAGATGGATCCACCAGTCCCTGAATCATGAGCATTTTAATAATGATTTTGCAAATTGTTTTCTGTGCAGTTTGCAGATGACACAGACAGTGAGGGTCACAGACTCCAGGATAGAATCCAGTGCTCCTCAGCTGTCTGGATTTCTTTCCACAGAACACTTCTCTCAAATGTCATATCAGCATCTCTGTCCCCTCACAGAATAAAGAAACTGGACACGGGCATCTGTGGGAGTCACAGAGGCTGTAGAGTCCATGCTTTGTGCTACTAACTGTGCACTGAGGGGAGGGGTGGTCAACGGCCCAGACAGGTCGAGTGCAGAGATCTGGTGTGGACAGTAAAGTGATGAAGATGGGATTCTCAGTCAGGAGTCAGGACACAGGGTCTCAGGGACGAGTGTTGGTTCCTTTTGGCAGATCCACCTGTTATCTGAAGCACAGTCCTCAGAAACCACTCTGTATTTTGAGATGGAGGCACAGCTGTCTTTTTCAGCTTCACCAGTGATTTGTAGTCTGAGAGGAAGAGAACAGCCACTCTTAGTGTTTAGGAATTTCTCATAATTATCCCATCTGTCCTTGTTCTCTTTGGAATTCAAAGGAAAAAAACACAGTTGTAGGATGCACAGTTGTTAAGTATAGGAAATACAAACATAGTGACATAGACATTGAAGGCCGGCTTGATTCTAAAACCTTAGTTTCTTCATTGGCAGAGAACCCTCCAAGCAGAAATCTTCATAATGAGGCAGAGGATGGAGATGGTTTGAATGGACAGTGACCTCTTCCTTCCACTACCTCACATCATGTGACCTCTTCACCCCAGTACTAACACATCATGTGACCTCCTCACCCCAGTACTAACACATCATGTGACCTCCTCACCCCACTACTAACACATCATGTGACCTCCTCACCCCACTACTAACACATCATGTGACCTCCTCACCCCACTACTAACACATCATGTGACCTCCTCCTTCCACTACTAACACATTGTCTTAGTGAGGACTTTTATTGCTATGAAGAGACACCAGGACCACTGCAATTCCTACAAGAAAAACATTTAATGGGGTGACTTGCTTCCAGTTTCAGAAAATGACAATACACCAAAGAGCTTCTTTGTGAGCTACACATACAATTATAGTTTTGGGATCCAGTAACCCAAGAGGTCATGTGAAGGATAGCTGTGACACTGTTGGAAAGAGACTGGATCATGGGTGCTCCGTCAAGGAATTAACCCATTGCTGAGTTCCCAGCCAAACAAAATGAGGCCTCCTGCAAAGATGTGGGTCATGGGGGGCTTTGAAGGGCAGGTCTGTGCTCCCCATCCCACCCCAGGGGTTGCCATCTCCTCTGCTTCCTGCCCGCTATGAGGTGAGCAGCTTTGCAGTGCCCTTATACAACCACACTTCTGCATTGCCCCAGGGCTACAACAATGGAGCAGGCTGGGGATGGACTTGAGGCCCCTTGAACTGTGAGCCAGAATGATTCTCAAAGGCTGATAATGCCTGTTGTCAACACAGCTCCTCAAACGATTGTAATTTCACAACTCCAGTTACAGTACATTGCAACCTGTCACAATGTGGTCATATCTTCAGCTGACAAAGCTCCCTGCTGACCCTGCTTTTCCTGTCACACTTACTCTTCCCCCACCTGTTGTGACCTGAGAAACTGGCTCATTTTCACCACAGTGTTAAAAGTGAAAAGTACCACTTAAGAAATTCTTAGGAAAACATCAAAGTGTAAGAGAGAAAGAAGAATAGTTATGTGAGCCTACAAGTTCTCTTTCCAACTGAGTTAGTCTAGTTCCAGCCTTAGGAGTTCATTTTACACACATACACACCTACATACACACACACATATATTCATACATACATACATACATACATACATACATGCACACACATGACCTTACAAAAGGCTGGTACATGGAATTGTCAACCCCCTTTGGAATCCTATATTCCGATGGTTCTGAACCTCTCTAATCTTTGGTATCAGTGTTAGAGCCCTGAGATGACCTGCATGAATATTAAGTTAGCTCCTCCAGTACTCACACATCAGAACTTAAAGTTGAGCCGTTTATCCACCTCCAGTTCTTGTCTGGCCATGTGTGATTCAGTCCAATCCAAAATGCACTGCCTTTTACATTTGCTGAGTCCTTTACGAATCTCTACAACAAAGCAGAGGACAGGACAGCCTGAGCCTGTGTGCTGAGACTCACATTCCACCAGCTCCTGAAACCTGGGTCACGTGTCACCTGTATCCACCGGAGTCCCCAGCAGAGTTCATTCTTCCTCCTTTGAGGGACCTGTGCCCCAACCTATGATCCCAGGACACGCCCCTCACATGCACAGCTACTGGCTCCCATGTCCCATCTGTCTCACAGACTATGAGCTTCCACAATGTAAATCTCCACTTGCTTTTCATGGAAGAGCTGTGAAGTCTAGAGATGTTGGTGTAGCTTCAAGAGCACGCTAACATTTCTGTTTTATCAAAAAACTTACCAGTTCCTCTTGGTCTTGAATGAACAGTAAAGTGGCTCCTTTTGTAGCACAGTCAGCTAGACCTTCCTTCCAAATGTTGCTCTCTTGAGAAAAATGTATGCATTTATCTCGGTGTGGAAGCCAGCCTTTTGTGCAGCTTAACTTAGCTGGGCTCTCTGAAGTGAGAAAGAGACATGGTGTATTTCCTCCCTGTTCTTGCTGTGTGTAGCCAGTTACATACACAGTTGCTTTATTAACACACACTTATAGTGAGAGATCTAGCTATGCACCTGTGATGCTGACCCTGCCCAAATGGTTGTGGTCACAAGTGTGTATGTGAGGGTGTGGGATCTGGTCTAGGGTGAGTGACAGGTTTCCTCTCTCTTGCTGTTGGTCAGGTCACGGGGAACAGCCTGGGAGGATCCTTGGAGCTGGAACCTGTGGCAGCCTCCTGTGTAAGTATAATCTCCCCGAATAAACTTCATCTAACTAAGTCTAGTGAATCTTGAGTCCCACGAAATACACACTTTCATTAACACATGCAGGGACAAGATTGCTGTTATGACATATTAAAGAAATACAAGGAATTAATTTTTTTGTTTCTATTAACTAACCTTAGAAAGTTAACTGTTTGACACATTTGTTAAAAACAAATATCCCAGTTGAGTGTTTTTTTATTGTGCTAGCATGCTGAGGCAGCATGGCCAAGTGGTTAAGATCTCAGTCGTCAAGTTCACACAGTGTCAGAGAAGTTCCCAGCATTACCACCTACCAGTCATGAGACCCTTAAGAAGTTTTTATGCAGTATTCTAACATAAGACCATGGTACTGTAGTGTCTTCATGGGTAAGTGTTTTAAGCATTGGCTGATGTAAGCCACAGTAAAAAGCAAATGTCAGCTGTTATTCTTGGGAAAGTCAGGCTGCAAAAATTACCTGTTGGATTAGTGATGTTCTCTTGAATATACACTCTGCATCTTCCTACTGATGGTTTCTGTATTAAGACTCGCACTAGTAAATAAGAAAACACACAGGGAGGATTAAGTGCTGAAATGAAGGGGGAAATCCAGCTATTTCAACAAACCTGAGCATCTGGGCTGGGGATGAAGTATCATCAGCTGGACTGAGGGACTAGTTTGGAGACAGAATGTATAAACAAAGAAGAAACACGCAGAACATGTGGATTCTCACCACTGTGAACCACATATCATCTAATGGCCTTACGGAAACTCTGAGCTCACACACACTCACGCCTGAATTCTCATCTTCAGAATGAGTGTCATCACATCCTCCAAGAAAGACAGCTCACTGCCATTGGGGTTTAGTAGCCACTCAATAAACTAACCACGTCAGCCTTCTAGTTTTCTTTGTTGTTGTTTTTGTCACAATTAAGGATCTAAGTTTCTGGATAAAGTGTGTTGTTGAGTTCTTCGGTCAGTTAAGAACACACACAGACACCAAATTCTCAACACAAACCAGAATTATTAACCTGGATGGAGGGGAGAGGGGCTAACTCTGTATTGGGCAAAGACAGCAGCAGGAGGTTCTGCAGGAGTAGATTTTTCAGGAGAAAACAGGAAATCTGTGTCAGGATGAGTTGCTAATACTGATTGGACAGGTTTGCCAGGATAGCCAAAAAATGAATTTGGATTGTTGGATCTCAGTGCTCAGACTCAGGAATGTTCCATGGACAAAAAAGGGAATGGACCTTAGAGGCTAGCTTAAGAATGTAATCTAACAGTTTAGCCAGGAAGAGGAAAGGTGAAAGGGCAAACCTGCAGGTGCCTTACTTGTCATTCTTAAGACTGAAAGAGAATCCTTCATGTGTGTTAGCCCCTATTGACTCTCAGAGAAATCCAGAGGTGTCAAAGAAATGAGAAGCTTCTGCCCTGGACATGGGGCACTGCCCTGGAACTACTCATGTCATTGATCTTCCTCTAGGCTCCCGGGGGCCAAACCATGGGAGGAGGCCCTGATGTTTAGAGGAACAATTCTGACCCAAAAGTTCTTCTCTCACTTACCTAAAACACTCATCCCAATCAGGGTCAAGAGAAGAAGGAGGAGCCCAGCACAACTGAGTTTCAGGGCCCACCTATGGGAGCGCGGGCACCGACAGGCATCTGTGAAGTTAAACACTTGTTACTTGGCTAAGTCGGTTGAGCACATCTGGAGTAAACGTTAAAGGTGGTTCGGGTTCCATGGATAATTGAATTCAAGCAGAGGGTGGATGTGCATGTGAGCCTTTCTCTGCCAACTTCAAGCAGAATTCCGTGAGATGAATTCTCCGTTAGGCTCAAGAGTTTGCCTTGATAAAGTAGGACTGAAGAATAATGCTATGCATGTACTGGGCACAAAGGAGTATTGGGTGAATCAAGCTTGGAAGATGTGAAGACATGTTGAAACCACTGAATGCTGTAAAAACAAACAGCACCTCCTGTTTCAGGGAGGGTGTCAAAGCATTTCTAAGGAGGGCCTTCTTTTATTCAAGAGACAGTTTTGATGTTGACTTTTGTGGTAATTGTGACCTTTGTGCTAATGGTATATGGTTCTTTTCCTTAACATGGGGTCTCTTTCACTGCAATGTACAATGATCATCTCCAACTTGGATTAAAGCTATGGCATCCAAAGAGTGGCATCTCATGAGTCCACATGGTATTTTCAATACTTCAATTGCATTAGTGCCTTCTATTGGCTGAGTTCTACAGCCTCCTAATGGATGAACTGGAAATGTGGCTAATACAACACTCTATGTGCACATTTACACACACACACACACACACACACACACACGAGAGAGAGAGAGAGAGAGAGAGAGAGAGAGAGAGAGAGAGAGAGAGAGAGAGAGAGAGAGAGAGAGACTGTAGCTTTCACGGTATTCTTAGAGTACTCTTACAACTGTTTTTGTTGTGCTCTGTCCTGTTTCTGAGAAAGGGTGGCCCATTAGTTCAGGCTGACCTCAACTCTCTGTGTGGCTGAACATGACCTTGAGCTTCTGATTCTCCTGCATCTACCTCCCAGGTGATGGGATTCTAGGTGTGCACCACCCACAGCTGGGGGAAAAACAAAGATTTGCCTGTGTCTATCACAAATAACTGTCTCTGAGAAGTCATCCCTCTAGTTATCAAAATCCCCCACTTCCCCAGACCCTTGAAGAGATACAATGAAGCTTATTGGGTGGTTCTAAGGCTTTTCTGATTAAAAAAAAGTTTGTTAACTTCATAGTTTCTGACAAGCATCCTTAAAAAGTTGTGGTTCACATTCTTGACACAATACAGAAATATTAAATTTTCACAGCCATGGTATTAGATAAGGAAGCTCAGTTACACCACCGACTCTCATATTATTCCATGACCATTTTAGACTCTTTCTCTCTCTCTCTCTCTCTCTCTCTCTCTCTCTCTCTCTCTCTCTCTCTCTCTCTCTCTCTCTCTCCCTCTCTCTCTCTCTCCCTCTCTCTCTCTCTCTCTTTCTCTCTCTCCATCCACATGTCTGTAACTCATGTTTTAAGTCTCTGGGGGACAGGGTGCTTGCTGATTCCACAAATGCTCAGTGCTAGAATACTGTGGAGCTGAGTCATGGTGTTTGTGTTCTGTAGAGAAGTTTGGACCAAGCAAGATGCTTTATAGCGAGTCTCTCTGCTGGAAGTGTTCCTTTCCCTGTAGATATAAAATATCTTTTCTTCAAGGTCTTGTGACTAAAGCTGAAATAATGGCTGCCCAAGTTTCACACTGAGTAAAAGTGCAATGTATGAGCCTTTTATCTCTAAAGTTGTGGCCATTTACACAGGTCAGCACAGACAGTCAACTGCTCATCTTCAAAGCAACAACTGAAAACTGTAAGAAGAAATCCTAACTCTGGAAGATATTGTAATGCCTAAAGGAGAAATGAAACTACTGACCTGGGGGAGGAGATGGAGGTGCTGCACGCTGAGCCCCTGGAATCCCAGATGCCTTTAAATTCAAGCAGACCCTCGATGTGTCCATTGCAAATAGGAGACATGACACTGAACCTGTGAGCAGGGACAAACTCCAAGTTCTGTGAGGTGAAATGAGCAAAGGGAGGTCCCCTGTGAACACTCAGCTGTGAGTCCACGCCCACCCACACTGGTAGCTGAAGGTTTCTCCATAGTTACTGACCTTGGTGTCTGTGCGGCTCCCACAGTTTACACACTATTGCCTTTTTTCTTTCTTATTATTCCTCACTCATACAATACATCCCAACTACAGCCTCTCCCTCTCTTCCTCCCAGTTCACCCCCACCTTCCTTCTCCCCCAGACCCACTTTTCTTCCATTTCCCTTCAGAAAAAGAGCAGACCTTCCAGGGATATCAACCAAATACAGGATAACAAGATGCAGTAAGACTAGGTACAGATCCTCATATCAAGCCTTGACAAGGCAACCCAGTAGGAGAAAAAGGGTCCCATGAGAAGGCCAAAGAGTCAGAGTCACCCCCAACTCCCACTGTTAGGAGTCCCACAAACACTCCAAGCTGAACTACCAAGGAAAATATGTAGAGGACCTAGTGTAGACCCACACAGGCTCCATGGCTGCTGCTTGAGCTTGTGTGAGCCCCATGAGCCCTGCTTAGTTGATTCTGTGCTCCGTGTTCTCCTGGTGTCCTCTACCCCTCTGGCTCCCACAATCCTTTCTCCCCACCTCTCCTGCAGTTCCTGGAACTCCACCTAACATTTGGCCATGAGTCTCTGCATCTTCTCCCATCACATGTATTTTCTTAATAAAACAATTTGTATCATGTAGTTTCCTTTTATTAACAAAACTCAAGGGAGACCTCTTGTTGTGATTCCTGGAACCAACCATTTTGAGTTATTCTCTAAGGGCAAAGCTCAAGATGAGTCAAATGTAATATTCTTCCTCAACTCAAATCTTAGTGACCACTTTCCCCAAATTACCAGCAATTAAGATATACAATATATATTATGATATTTTGTAAAAATAAACATCAATGTGTGAAGATTCCTAGTTTAGTTGACATGGATTGCAGCTCTAAAATCCTCTGGAAGCACCTGAGCTGTGGAGGAAGCTGTGACGTGTGCAAATGAGGACAAGAGTGTGGGAAACACTCATGACTGACACGATGGGAAGATCAATGAGGAGGGAGCCGCACACGCTGCTCAGCCTTGTTCTGAAGTCCCTGTGGGTGTGACATCACTCACCAGAGTGAAAGGACTTCATCTGTCAGAGCTACAGAGAGAGGAGGATACAGGTCTATGGGATGGGCTAACTCCTCCTAGGATTTCCAGGCCTAGACCCTTAGAATAGGACTACCAATGCTACGTCAGACATTCTCAGATTACAATTGAAGAAGAAAACGGACGATTTCCTAAAGTCACTTTATGTGGTCACAGAAGAATTGTACCAAGCACTCACAGTTATATGGCAGTGGCATCAGTGTGCTGGCTGTGAGTTCCAGGAGACAGGAGCTGTGTACACAATGGGTGGGGATCACACTCATCCTCCAGAAAGGGGAAACCTGCGTGAGACTCTGTTAGTACACTTAAGTCTCAGTGAAACTTGTCTTTTTCCAGTGTGTATTTATAGCCTCTTGATAAAATAAAAACTCAGGTATAAGTGTGGACTAATGTCTGTGGTTTTAGTTCTATCGCAGAGATCAGTGTGTCTATGCCAACACCACACTGTTTTTTTTTATTATTGTAGCTTTATAGTACAGCTTGAAATTTTCAATAATGAGGCCTCCAGCAGTTTTTTATTGTTCTGGACTGGACTATTTTAGCTATCCTGTTTTTTTTTTGTGGCGTTGTGTGTGTGTGGTTTTTTTTGCTGTTGTTTTTGTTTGTTTTCATATGATGCAGAGAATTGTCCTTTCAAGATCTGTGAAGGATTGTGTTGGAATTTTGGAGGGGATTGCATTAAATCTATATATTACTTTTGATACAATGGCCATTTTTACTATGCTAATCCTACTGATTCATGAGCGTGGGAGTTCTTTCCATAAGTTGATATCATCTTCAATTTCTTCCTGCAATGACTTCAAGTTTTTATCACATAAATAGTCACTTGCTTGGTTCGAGTTACCCCAAGATATTTTACATTATTTGTAACTATAGTGGAAGGTGTTGTTTCCCTGGTTTCTTTCCCAATCTGTTTGCCACTTGTGTATAGGAAGATTACTGACTTTTGTGAGTTAATTTTTTATCCAGTTACTTTTCTAAAAGTGTTTATGGGCTATAGATGGCTCCTGTTGGAATTTTTAGGGTCACTTATGTATACTATCATATCGTCTGCAAATAGGAATACTTTGACTTCTTCCATTCCCATTCATATCCCTTTGGTTTCCTTTAGTCCCTGATCTACCTAAGACATGTGCTACCACACCCAGCTTTCAACAGCACTTTTGACTCCATTTGCTCTGTTATGTGCAAAGGTGGTCAGAGGGATTAATGGGATGGAAAGAGGAGAAAGGAGAGATGCTTGCCAAGCCTGTTGGTGATCTTGAAGTTGGTATACAGCTATTGGGAATGCCAAATGGCCAACTGTTGTGGAAGACAGTGAATCCTGGGGGACAGCTAAGCACAAGGCCTTGGAAAAGGTAAAAGATGATGGGAGTGCCTGTGTCCTGGTGGCTTGAGAGAAGCTCATGAGGGAGAGGGGAAGAAGGGAGGGGAAGGAGGAGCAGATGGGGAAACGCACCAGATACAATAAGGATAAAACTAGGTATTTATGTTAAATGAAATGCAATAAGCAAGAGAAGATGAACTTGTGTAGGTTGTGAGGCAGGTGGTTTGTGTCCTCTGTAGGATGTGGGCCAGGGGGAATAGACCCTATGTAGGATGTGGGCCAGTCCTCTGGGTCCTTTGCAGGATGTGGGGCAGGTGGTGTGGGCCCTACCTAAGGATGTGGGACAGGTGGTGTGGGCCCTACCTAAGGATGTGGGGCAGGTGGCCTGTGGGAAACGACCGTCTCTTTGACTGGGTATTTCCTGTAGCCCCACACTGCTCTGAAGCCTAAAAATGAAGCAAAGGGCACTAAGGACCTGTAACCCCAGAACAAGGATTATGCAGACCAGACAGGGAAGTGGAGCTTTATGTATTTTTCAAAATGTGTAACTCCAAGAAACGTTCTTGGTTTCAAGCTGGACTTTAATTAATTGGAATGAATTTAATTTTCTAAAAAGTAAAAGAACTAAGTAGAATCAAGTTAGGCTTAAAAGTTGAATTTCAAATGAATTAAAAATGAAAGTAGTCTTTCTTTTTTATTTTTGACAGATAATAGTCTTCTTTTTATTGAAATAGACAGGGCCTGTTAAGAAAACAAAACAAACAAACAAACAAACAAACAAAAACAAAGTAGCTTGAGAGACAGCTGGTGTCTGATCACAGCCTTTAAAGATTGAACCGCTTCTCCAGTCTGCAGCGCGTTTTCAATCTTTCTCTGAAGTACTTCAAAACCGTTGGCGGACCATTTCTGTTGAGCATATTCACATTTGTGTTCCCTAAGGAACTATTTGCCTGAGTCGGAGGTAAAAACAAACACTGGGTAAGTCCCAAATCTTTGTAGCCTTCATTTCTGATCTAGGTGATGTCTGCTTGTACCTGCAGAGGTAGCGAAAAGGAGGGGGAGGGCTGAGCATTCAGATAGGAGGGGACAGAGTGTAGCAGGAGAGGAGAGCTGGTGCGAGCTGGGTGCTGGCTGCCCAGAAAGGGACTGGATTGGACTGGAAGGAGAGGCTTTGTGGCTGTTGGAGAGATGCTTCGGAATGGTGTGTGGCCATGATTACATGTTGAAAGAGAAAGGAAGGAAGGAAGGAAGGAAGGAAGGAAGGAGGAAGGAAGGAAGGGGAGGAGGAGGGAGGGAGGGAGGGAGGGAGGGAGGGAACGAAGGAAGGAAGATAGATATGTATCCCAGACTGGCCTTGCACTCCCGATCCTCCTTCCCTCTGTCCTCTTGCCTAGTGGTATTTACGACCAAGCCCTCTGCCCTTAACTCTAGAAATCGCGTCCTCACAAGCCTGGAAGCCCTTCCCTCCGTGGATCGTGCCCTGCTGTTCGGTCTGGAAGTAGGCTACCCACCCCTCGTGGGCCTGTGGCTCTGCTGCTCAGCCCACACGAGGATTCATCTGTCCTCTCCATTCCTCTGCCCTGTCGACCCTGGGCATTCACAGCTGGTCAGTGCAGGGGGCAGGTAGCTCACGGAGGCGGCCTCCTCAGGGATGACTGGCAGGTCTCAAAACTCAACCCTTGGGAATCTGCTGGGGCCACTAACACTTGGAGGCTAGACACTGATGTCCACGTGCGGGACTCCAGGAGAGACCGGGTGAGGGTGGGGAAAGAGCTCAATCTGAAGATGAAACAGTGCGTGGGGCACCGCTGCTTCTTGCCCAGTGGCCCTCTGTCGCCAGAACACTTGCTGTCCTTCAGCTGTAGACACCTCCTTCAAGGAACTCCGTGGCGCGGCGAGCATCTCATCCCCAACTTTCCATTTCTTGGTCAGAATTAGGTTTAGGATTTCCATCTATCTGTGCCATGGACTGTGTGTGGAGATTTCATGAATGCTTCAGCAGTTTAAAAAATTTTAATAACCAAAAAAAAGTGGGTGAAGGACTTCAATAGGCACTATAGCAAAAAAGAGACAGGGGTGGCCACCTCCCTCCCCCCACCTTTCGGCTCCCACAGTCAGTCTTCCAACCCTATCGCACAGAATTCTCCTGGCGTTGGAGGCTGAGGTGTCTTGTTGACATGGATGTCTTGTTTGAGCTGAGCTCTCAGGACTTACTCATACTCAGTTCTCTGACCATCTGAGCTTGCTCTGCCTCACCAAGTCTGCAGGCAGATGCAGTCCCGTGCTTCCTCAGGCCTGTCCCAAAAGACTTCTCCCGAGTGCCCTTTTCGTGTAATTTCTAAGCAGTTCAGGCTGAGTCGGTAACACTAGGGAGTTAGCAGCAGGGACAACAGAGAGCAGGGGGGACAGCGCAGACCAGAGAACACCAGGGACAGGGAAGCTGAGTGTAGTGAGGCTACCCTGTGAACACACAAGGCCGCTGATGATTGACAGC